ATGTGTGTGTGTTTGTGTGTGCGCGCGCGCGTGCGGCGTGTGCGTGTGCGTGTGCGTGTGCGTGTGCGTGTACGTGTGCGTGCGCGTGTGCGTATGCGCGCGCGCGCGCGCGCGCGTGTGTGTGTGTGTGTGTGTGTGTGTGTGTGTGTGAGAGAGAGAGAGAGAGAGAGAGAGAGAGAGAGAGAGACCTACAGATTTTCGTCGCGTTGTCGGTAATAATCGAGTATTTTTTTCCAAAATAAAATAATAACGAAAGCAGCACTAAATAAATAGCAAACTATACGTGCCACATGTTGTTCACCGTATGGTCGTACTGCGAATGATAGGTGGACTGAGAGAAATAATTATTTTTTTCAAAAAAAATTTTGTTGATTTAATAAAACCGGAAGATTGTATGTTGCCAATCAAATCATCTGCTTGGCAACATACAATCTTCCGGTTTCTACAAAATATTTTGTTAAGTTGAAGATAATAAATGTTATAATCAATAAAATTTTTGATAATTTAAAGAGATATTGTATGAAATAGACTAAATATATGCTTCATAATATCAATTTTTTTATTTCTTTTATTCATACAACAAATGCAGATATTGAATGGAAGAAATACTTCGTTAAGTTGAAGTAATAATTTGTTAATTAAATGAATTTGTTACTCTATAGAAAAGTCTGTTTCAGAACGCGGTTATTTAAATTGTTAGAACACTTTTCTTTAGCTACATAATTAGTGTGTTCTATTTAGTATATGTCAGTATATGAAATCCAAAACAGAAAACAGACATAAATGGAAACTCTTTTATGCATTCACTTTCTTCTCCGTATGCTTTGAATTTTTTCAAACGCTTGGTTTTGAAAAACTCTCAAAACAATTTCTTTGAACTTTGTTGTCAACGGGTTGTCGAACTTTGTTACCGGCGGGTTGCCGGACCGTTGTCAGATTTCGTTTCCGGCGGGTTGCCGTACTTTTACAGCCGACGATTGTCGGATTTTAGTAACCGACTCGTTTATTCAATTAAATGGGCAGATGAGGGTTTAGCAGTTTCGTCCATAAGGGATACGCGGATCTGCATCCAATCTTTCCGTTTTTCTGTCAAGAGCTTTGTCAGCTCAACAATCTTCGTTTTTTATAAATTTGATTTATAAATTTGATTTTTTATAAATTTGATGACCCTACGGGATCATCTTGTTTTTGAGCCTATGGGATGGATATTGGCAAGCCTACAAGGGATGCTGCTAGATAATATTTTTTTAGTCGAAATTTGTGCGGTCTTGAAAACTCGGAAAAAAATAGACGATTATTTTATATACATTTTATATACATTTATATACAAGTGGCTAAGGAAATATGACTAGGATTTCCCATATCGCGGCCGAATAATTATTGTGCGCCAGCGGAGTTAGGAAAAAGACATCAGGCGAGAGAAAAATCCGAATACCGAATTTGAATCTATACAAAATTCTATAAGTGTGTATTTAAAATTGTCCGATATAACAATAAACATGCTATTTACACAGTTATCTACAAGTATCTTTATTCCGCGAGCGACAGAACAATTCTTAGTGCGCGAGCGACGGGACTTAAACCGCGAGACTTATCGCGAGCCATGATCTCTTTTGGTTTAAACGCCGAGCGAAAGAAAATAGGAACTATCTTTCTTTACGCTGAATGAGACACACACTGTCACCGTTTATTTAATTGTAAGATTTACGAGCGCAAAGATTCGGTGTTTAATTTCGCATTGTTTCAGGGAACCTTTGCGTCCCGGTAATAATAATTAATAGCGTTTTTTTTTTGGGAAAACTGGTGCGCACTCAGTGCACATTAAAGCCGTCGTACAAGAAATCAACGTAAAGTGTATGTTTAATATAAACAAGTTAAGTCACGAAATCCTCAATATTCTTATTGTGCTATTTGGTAAAATATATATATATTGGTATTTTATCAGTCGAAATATTTGCATTTTACTTTAAATATTAGAGATTAAATTAGTCTACACTGGCTTTAATGTGCGCTGAGTGTGCATTAGTTCTGCCAATGAAAAACACTATAAGACAAAGTCAAGGCTGACGGTCGACTAAGCAATTGTTTTTTGTCCCTTTTCTCTAAAAAGACTTATAATTAGTTAACTCCCCTTAGGAAAAGCAGACTCTGCTAATTTTGTTTGTATGTTATTATTAAATTTAAAAAATGTTGATTCAAGGCAAGCCGTAATGCGAGAATAATTTCATCTTTTTTGAGGATATCGCATTTTTTTCGAGATATGCTCCCATCTGTTCAGCCATGCTGTCAATGGTTAGATCAATAGGGACGTTTGTAAAAAGTGACACGACGTTGAGAGAAATGAGAATATAGTTCTTTAAGGTGCTGGCCACTCAAATCTCTGACCAGTTGGAAACTATATTTTATGTGGCTGTTTGCTTTTGGGATGTTGGAGGATATTATATTGTGTAAAAATCTTGCAAGGCTATGCAATGGACCGTCAATAAAGGACATTATGATTCTTATGATTTTGTTTATGAATCGAGTATATCTGAGTCGTTTCTGCTTTCAACGTAGAGTGAATAATTTAAACATCCTTACGGATACCGATACACTGTACAGTAATATTTATATATTAATTTAAATGATATTCGTAAAATTAGATTTACACTATTTTGAAAGTAAACGGTTCATATTCTTAGTCCTTTCTTCTGAGGAATGGTTTACAGTAATGTTGAGAATTAAGTGAGCGGAGCCTTCACATTACATAGGTGAGATCTCGATGTACGTATTGTAATTACGTGCGCCTGTGTGTAACAAGTCAAACGAACAAAAATATATCTGCGCTGCAGTCAATGGCAAACATTGAAAATATGAATTATATAATATTAATTATATGTTGTGCGATAATGTTTTGTATAAATTATGCATACACAATATACATTATTAAAAGAATTCTGTCAATCTTTGTCTATCCTTCTTTACCTTCCACAATCGCAACGTCACCTAATATGGATATATTGACACATGACACACGATATATTTGTCCATTTTTCCATAATTTCCTGACTTAATGCATCTTCCATTAAACAAATTAAAAAAATATTTTGTTATTTTGTATTTTCAGTTACCCTTTAATTTTAGTAAATTTTTTTATTTAAAGTCACAAAAAGTACTGTATTATTGTATATTAGAAGATTTTATTGTCTTTATCTTATTATATAAAACTCTTTATTAATAGTCATATTGGAAGCTCGAGTATTACTTTTGCATAAATTAACACAGATAAAATAACTAAATTTTTTCATTATTAAATCGAAAATGCATAGATGCGAATTGTAGGTATAAAAACAATACAAATATTAAACGGAAAACCTAGCTGTAAACAATTAACAAAAATTTTGCAATGCATATTGCAAATATTTATTGATTATTGATTATACAATTAATATTCAATACTCAAGTTAAAGATATTTTCACCTAGCTGTTAAGGGGATCCTATAGCGAAGGCCGAACTTCCTCGACGTCGGTAATGTCAACATTTCTAATCCTGTTTTCTATGTTATATATCTATGTCTGTCCTTGTCTAACCAGAGGCATCTGTCTTTGTTCGATTGCTGCGCCATCTCTCGCTACACGCAATACTGCTTATCCTGTCAACCTAAATGTGCTTTTGCTTAATAAAACTTCATTTTACGGAATCTTTTTTTCTAGACGTTGAATCTTAGTTTTATTTACACGATATTGTTTCTACATGTTGTCCCTACGTCGCCTTGGTGTCATTATATATATATAAACTGCAGTAATTTTGTTATTGTCGTCAGATGACAGTTGTATGTGCCCAAATTAGTAAAATTTTTAATTTTTTTTTGTTCCCAATATGAAATCGTACAACGCGATGTAGATTTTTGTGCGTACTTTAATTCTAGACCAAAAACTTGCAATTCTGTAAAGCCAATTCAAAAATTCCTTTAAATGAAAAAATGTCGGTAACTACCGCCACTATAGGATCCCCTTAAGCCCCGGACACACACTTTTTCGTAACAGTAAAGCCCCTTGCACAATAGGCGATAGCGATAGCGACAGCGACAAAAGTTGCCGACAAAGGTATAGCTTTGCTCGGCAACCTTTGTCGCTGTCGCTATCGCCTATTGTGCAAAGGGCTTTACAGTAAAGTTTCGACCAATCGCATTGCTCGATCCAGAAACGTACGACCGTATGAATAGTCCAATCGCCAGGTCGATTGAGCATTTTTTCGAGGTTGATGGCTTAAGTTAATGTTTTTTTATGTTTTTTGGGTCGTAGAACAAGAATCTGTAAATAGTTTTTTCGTAAGTCGATGCGATAAAAAGTTATTAACAATTTATTTGTTTAAATTGCCCTAAGCGATCAAACTATACATTTTATAAAAAAATGAACTGGAGAAAATTTGTTCCTCTTTTCACGACGAACAAAATAGCGTTTAAATTTTTCCAAAATCTTGATTATTGACGGAAATATGTCAATTTTTAGGTAATTACTGCCTACGCGTCGCGGAGTACCCTAGGCGTGCGCGCTCGCGCTCAATTGTATCGTTAAAACAATTGAAACTCTAAACTTGTCTAAACTAGAGTCGTAAATAATCATTTAAATGATTATAGTCTAAACTTGTCTTGTGGTACAATTGAGCGCGAGCGCGCACGCCTAGCTAGGGTACTCCGCGACGCGTAGGCAGTAATTACCTAAAAATTGACATATTTCCGTCAATAATCAAGATTTTGGAAAAATTCAAACGCCATTTTGTTCGTCGTGAAAAGAGAAACAAATTTTCTCCAGTTCATTTTTTTATAGGATGTATTAGTTTGATCGCTAGGGCAATTTAAACAAATAAATTGTTAATAACTTTTTATTGCATCGACTTACGAAAAAACTATTTACAGATTCTTGTTCTACGACCCAAAAAACATAAAAAACATTAACTTAAGCCATCAACCTCGAAAAAATACTCAATCGACCTGGCGACTGGACTAGAAGACCTTCACACATAAAATCACGTAAGGACGTAAAACGTAAGCGTAAGAAAATCGACCAATCCCAATCAAGTATTGTGCTGTCTGTAACCCCAGTAGGGGAAAATACTCGATTGGGATTGATCGATTTTCTTACGTTTTACGTCCTTACGGCATATTATGTGTGAAGGCCTTGTGAACCACATCGTATAATAATCATGGTGGAAGTATACATTCCACCATGATCGTAATCGTGCGCGCCTTCAAGCCGGGCGACGAGACCGGTTGCACGAAATTGATTAGAGACAGCGTGATGTCTTCCCTGGGTGCCACGTTCTGCGGGATGCTGTTCAAGGAGGTAACTTTCCAGCTGATGATCCTGTTGTCCGCGATAATGTTCATCTTCTTCGGGATGCCGCTGACCATCTGCCTCTTAGTTGTGCCTGTGGTCGTCGTACTTATGTACGTCGGCACATATGTCAGCTTCGCCGCAAAGCTAACGGAGATTAACGAGGAGGTGGCTAATATTCCAAGGTATTCATTGTATATTCATGCGTGGAACTTTTGGTTTAACACGTTGACTGCCAAGCCATATTTGGGAAAAATGTCCCTGACACCAATTTGAATTATGCTTGTTAAATTATTCAAAACCCAAAATATAAAATATAAAAATTAAGACAATGAATAAAATTTGATAATAAGATGATATAATAATATAATTAGCCAAATCGCCAAATACCAGTTAATTCATATTTGGCAGTCAGTGTGTTAATGACAGCCTTCTAGAGGTGATCTCTAACGTTTTGATATTCTTGCCCACAGACTTTACATGTCGAACGCCTTTTCTCGCTTCTGGGTCGCCGAAGCGTTTGAACCTCACTTGATGACGCGACATCCTAAAGAGGTTCATTATACCATAATGACGGAAGAACAGTTTCGCCAAGCCAACATAAGCGTCTCCTCGCAGGCCAAGAAGATAGTGGGAACTGTCGCTTTGTGCAAAAGTTACCGGTCAGATAGAAGCGCGTGGATAAAGAGGCTGTGTGTGCATGAGCAATATCAGAGAAAGGGTATAGCATCGTGCCTGCTCAATATTACTGTGCAATTCGCAATTGATGCAGGGTACAGCTGCGCTAACATAGTAGCTTCCGAATATACCGAAGAGGGTAGGGAACTGTGCCTTAAAAAAGGATTTGAACTTAAACAAATATACCACAAGTCTATCCTAGGTTCATATATAACGATATTAATGTACGAGTTAACGTACCGGATCAAACCTACTGAAGATGATTACATATCTGGGATGGACTTTCAAAAAGAGTTTTTAAATCAATTCTAACGATTAGGTTTTCATAGTGCGCTAATTGAGATAACGAATCTCTTGAAAAACGAATGAGACTGATTGACTGATACTGTGTTCCCTGCGAAACAAAGTGCTCCAACCAAATAGTGATCTCTACTTGATTGATACGCTTAGTATTATCCAAATTTTATATTAACCAATGGAAGGATATTAAATGTATAGGAGAGGTATTATTTTTTACGAAATGTTTGTTAGATATTTCAAATATTGTTGTATATATCATAGAATTAATATTATTGTCATGTATATTATTATATCACATATGTATGATCGTCTTATATCGTCATATACATTGTCATTGTTATAAATATTACTGTTATTAAATTAATTACCCAAAAAAAAAATTTTTTTAAACAAGACGCAGATTTATAAAAAAAACACGGATGTTGATTCACTTCAAGGAAAAACAACACTTTATTACATGCATGCTAATAATAGTTAATTTCTATGTAAATAAAATTTATAAAATGGGAAAAATAGAGAGAGAAGCAAATTTTTATGTAAATTTATCATCGATAAAGCAGCGCTTTGACAGATTTCCGTTTAATCAGTAACTGGTACATGGTAATAACGTGCTGTCGAACCAATTTACATTGTAAGATGGCAACACATAACGAGGCAATGTGTTACATAAGTCGTCGTCATCGACGATCAGTGCCCGAATAAATTCCACGTACGCATTTACTCCTTCACTCCATTCCTTTCGTTCAAAGAGCGATAATATAGTGCATACGTGATAACGTTCGATTAAAACCCGCTCACTTTGATGATAACAGCTCAATCTAGGTTTCATTGCCGTTGTGAGACGTGGTCATCGCAATAAAACCGTTATCAGTGCGATATCCGGACACCAGTAAACACGTACGAAAACAGTGAGAAGATAACAAAATAACGTCGTGCTAACTCTTGTCACCGCGAATCGCTTGTGATCTATATATTTTAAAGATTTTTAAACCGATATATTGAAATATGTATATCTGTGTGTAAATATACGTGATTGATATATAATTGTGCTATCTCATAATTATTCTTCAGCATTAGATATTGTTAGGATTTTATTTTGTACCCTCATTACTGCACGTTTATTGTATATGATGTTTTTATACTTTTGAACATCCATTTCTCCTTTCTCTAATACAAGTATAAAGATTGTTACTAGCTGCAGGTAATTGTTCCTAAAGCGCTGTAATTACTTTTATCGAGCATCAATGTAGTGTAACGTTTATTACGTACTATTTTTATTGAGACTTTATAATAGAATTAAAATAATGATAGAATAAGATATTTAATATTCTGTATATGTTAAAGTTTATATATAAAATAATATAATATTAAATATTTTATATTCCATTATTACTTTACTATTATTTTATTTTATATAATTAAAATAAACTATAATAAATATTAAATATTTATTCCATCGTAATTTTATCTACTTTATACTTTATATCATTATTTTCATACGCAAGCGATATCAGAAAAAAGTATACCCGTAAAAGTATATTACTCTCTAAAAGAACTCTTAAATTTAAAGAAAAATTTCGGTATTTTTAATATCGAAAATAGAGAGCCCTCGGAATCATTATCAATATCAATCTTTCTTTATCGCATTATTCATCATAATATTTTCAGAGGTAGGCATGTTTCCTCCGACCTACATCGAGGGTTTTCACGACCCTGAAGCAGTAAAATCTATGAAGTACAAAGAGCTTGGGAAAACTGGGCTGCTTGTAAGCAAATTATCTTTCGGCTCCGGTCCGCTTGGCTGTCATTACGGGTAAAATTGTTTATCGCTCGCGCGAGTATTATATTTATCAACACAATAATAATAATTTTTACATAATCACATTGTCACTGCAGCACGTATGACGAGGCGGACGCTATCAAAGCTGTACGTGAAGCAATAAGACAAGGCATTAATTATATCGATACAGCACCGTGGTACGGCCAAGGTCGTTCCGAGGCAACACTCGGCAAGGTGTGCAAAAATTGATTGAGAAGATTATATAATTTCTTTTTCGTACATCGATTTTTCGTGCTGGGCGACTGATGTCTTATTATTTCGCATATTTATAATAGGCATTAAAGGGCATTCCTCGCGCAGCTTACTACCTCGCGACGAAAGTTGGCAGATACGAGTTAGATTATGACAATATGTTCGATTTTACCGTCGAGAAAACTCGGAAGAGTTTCAAGAAGAGTCTGGAACTGCTAGGAGTGGATTATGTCGATGTTATTCAGGTAAGATATTGCACTCAACGAGTCAACATTAATACAAATCTAATAAAACAATTAAATATCTGAAATCAAACTTGCAGGTTCACGATATCGAATTTGCACCCTCATTAGATGTAATAGTCACGCAAACCTTACCGGAGCTGTCAAAGTACGTGGCCGAGGGCAAAGCCAGGCATATAGGTGTAACCGGGTACCCGGTGTCCATACTGAAAGAATGCGTCGAAAAAAGTAACATAAATATAGCCAGCGTGTTGAGTTACTCGAGACTCACTCTCATCGACGACACTTTGTTGGAATACGTTCCATTCTTCAAAGTGCGTAATCTCATTCGTGTTGCGTAACGCCGCGGATTTAATGATAATTTTATTAATTGTCGACTTGTAGAAGCACAAGATCGGTCTAATTAATGCCGCAACACCATGTATGGGTCTCCTAACGAATAATGGCCCACCGAGCTGGCATCCAGCCTCTGACGAGACAAAGAAACAATGCGCGAATGCTGCGCAATATTGCAAGGTTCGTTAACAATAGAGACGTCAATTAAAACAATGCATTGTTGTACAACTGTGGTACATTGATGAGATATTCGAATTTAGTTGTGCAAAAATATGACGTTATAATAAAAAATAACGCAGGAACATGACGTGGAACTCGGCAAACTAGCGATATGGCACTCCATGCAATACACGGATATAGACACCAATTTGGTTGGAATACAGAACACAAAGCAGTTGCAGATGAATCTGGATGTGATGCGAAACGGCATTACGGAAAAAGAAAAAGCACTGTTGCAAGAAATTCAAGAAACGTAAGTTTCTTTAAAAATTTCTTTTGCAACGTACTTTCATTTTTCTTTAATTCACTCTGTGAACACTCAAACCGGGATGGAATTGTTTTAGGTTTCTGTCGACAGTGAAGAATCAGCACTGGGAAGGTAAAGAAATCCGTGCGTACCGAGAAGCCACCAAGAAGAACATATGAGAAAAATATACTTTTATTTCCGCCGTTTTATGTACCATTTATAGAATTTTATCTTAGAATTTAAAAAATTATACGACTAACAACGTTCTGCTCATATTTCTTCTCATTTTTCTTATCTCTCGTAATTATTTTGAACAATTTCGAAAAACTGCATTAAAAGAATTGGGTAATGCCGATTTTATTTGCCATGTTTAAAAATTCTATCATCTTATATTTCCCTCGCTTATATTTTTATCTCTTATATTTCCCTCGCCATGTATTAGTATTCTATAGCGGCAAGACTCGTTATTATCTCAGCATTTTGAGAGGTCCATTTAATCCGGGATTTAAACGTTATCCTCTATCCTATTCTAAGGTTCGCTCTTCGCAGCTGAACATTTTGCGCTTATCCTTTCCTCTTCAACCTTCAACGTCTAATATTAATCATCTATCTCGTTTCAAGCGCTACCGCGAGGAACGGACCGTTAGATATTATAATATCGAATTCGCGCGTAGCCGGTCAGTGGTCACTTCGTTGTCGCGCTCGCGTTCGTCTCGTCGTGCGAAGACCCCGTAATTTCGGCGCTGCCCGTTTTCTGGGTTATGTACCGGACGTCTCGGCGCGATTATGTAATAAATAGGGGGCCCGAGCGGTCGGGAAAGCCCTGTGCCCTCGGGCCACCGAGAACCCGCAGCCAAAGCCAAGGTAGAGGCCACTGGTCAGTGCACTCGTTCCTGTCGCGCGTTCAGCATCGCGGTCGGCCGTCTCGCGGGGATTCTCCTGCGCAAAGGGCAGCACCTCGCAGTTCTCGCGCACTACTGCGTCTATTCCCCTCCCCGTAAGTAAGATTTTTTTTCCCTTACGTATAGTTGCGGCTTGAAAAGCCGCGCGATTTTCCACGACGATTTCGATGAAAAATTTATCATGCATAAAAAGAATATGGAGGATGCGTGATGACCCGTTTCTTTTTCGTAGCACGTCAAAGACTGCAAAACTCACCGCGAAAGATATCTCTGCGACACATTAATGCCAATAAATTGATCAGTATATCGATACACATTTAAACACATTAATTTTGTGCGATACATATGAAATAATTTTTAATGCCACGATGACTGTCACGTTTGTGCGAGAGAGATGGCGTTTATTATTCGTTCATGTTAAAGTAAAGAAATTTGAAAATAAAACAAACGAGAATAGGATTAAACCGTCAAGGCGGCTGATGTACACGATCATTACGCGCGCGCGCATCGACAAACATCTAGTCATTCCAAACGAGAGCTCTATTTTCCGCACGCGAGGCTTTCCCCGCTTATCTAAAAAGCGCAGAAGCGTTTGGCGAGTTTCGATAGTCCTGTAATCTCGTCGCAAGGAACTATCTCGGCGAAATCGCCGGCCGGCCGGCCGGCCGGCTCGCGGACGATAATTGAGCCGTTCGAAAAAGCGGGTCGACATTCCGACGTCGCAATTAAAAAAGGAAGAAAAAATGAGCGCCGTTAATCCTCGCGGCTCGAACATGCGATACGGCGAGACCCGCGGACGCCAGATACGTGCTACGTAATTCAGCACGTTTTTCACCGCGCGGCCGGAAATCGCGTGTCCCTTTCTTGGCCCCGATGCCCTCCGAGAACGAATAATCGCGATAATCTGAATCGCGCGACGTTCCTTGACTATAAATTAAGCAAAGTCATAGATTCATGCCGAGTATCGCGCTATCTTGTCGCGCCTGGAAACCGCCGTCCGTTGACGGTAAAACGGTATTGACATTTCGGAGATTTAGGACTAAAGGTAGACCTTGGCGTTTTATCAAGGGAGACCTTGCGTTTCATTTGTTTCCAACGTGAGAATCGCGCTTCGCTATATGGAACAAAGGCTGAATACGGAATTTCGTTGGCGATTACGTGTATATCGTCAGTGCGCACATATTTTTATTCCGCTTAAAGCCGCAACGCCGAAAGTCTTTAATTATACTGGCGAAAGGAGGCCAAATATCGGTATACAACATAAAATTTTCATAATACCGGCAATATATGATTTTCCGGTAACACTGATATACCGATCATTTTATTACTTTTATATTGTCAAACGTCAATATTGTGAAATAAATCAAATCTGTAGTTTATTTATTCTTGATGTACGTCTCACAAAATAAATTACGAACAGAAAAGAGATAAATTAAATATCTGCATGCTAATATTATATCGCAATTAATTACAGAATTCTGAATTTATAGGTATACACGCTGTTTTCTGGTAATTTTTTTTGTAAAATATATATTGGGATAGCATTGTAATTTGATTGATTAGACAATATCGATGTTCAGTTAATAAAAAAGTAATAATGTAAAAGAGCAATAAATCGATATGTGTATATAAGGGTATTATCAAAAGTTATGTATATGTATATATATATATATATATATATATATATATATATATATATATATATATATATCAGTATACACTTCTCCCGATATTTGTACCAGTTGGTTTTCATTTTAGTTATTATATAAAGCGGGAAAACGTCGACGTACAAGCGATATTTTTTACATCGTTTTTATATCGCGTTTCCAACGCGGTAGAAGCGCGATCTCCCGAGAATCGTAAATTCGCATTTATCATTCTCAACATAAATTTTGCTTTAAACGTGCGGCATAAATATAAATATCTTTTCTTATGACTTTTACACATAATTCGAGGAACTCCAGTGGCTTATTGAGCTGAGTTGTGACTAAATATTAGGGTATTTAGATCGATAATTTAATTGTGCTCCAATGCATATTTAAAATCGGTATTTGACATTAACAACGAAGTCACATTAAGTATTTATGCGTGTGTTTATGCGTGCTTGTTTGTATGTTTGTAGCATAAATAAAATAATAATTTCTTTTTACCAGAAAGTCCTAGTTTACCGTAGAGTCACCCCCGAGGATAAATAGCAAAAGACAAGTTCCCCATAATTAATTTACCGAGTACGTTCGAATTAGGAAGCGCTTTCCGTTTTGTATAATTTGTCCTAACTAATATTAAATTTGCTTTAGGTTTCCACACGTAATTGGCGGGTACCATGCCAACGAAGAAAGGCGAGCAGTGGTACGCGGATTGGATCGTTGCGGCGGATGTGTGTACGGATCTACCCGGAAGTCTCCAGGAAAGTAAAGACGAGGTTTTGCTTCGCTTGGACAACCTACTCCGTCAGCAAGGTACGTCGATTTATCTACCGTGTAATCTGCGCTTAAATTTTTTCCGTTCTACATTCGCTTGGAAAATCTGACATGAAATCTAGGTATTTGACTTGGGTTTCTCGCTTAATGCGTCGAAGTCGAACACGGATTCGTTGCCTTAATCATTTGAAAAGGAGCAAACCTTTCACCTTTGAATTACAGATATCGTCTCATTTTAATACTTCATTAACATTTGAAACAGAAAGGGTAAATAAACTGCTGCGTACTTTTTTTTGTATAAAAGAAAAACTCTTTAAAGGTTACTAAATTTACTAAACTTTTATATTGGACCTAGTCTCTTATCATTTTTGGCCTTTTCGAAAATTTAACATGTATTATATTTTCTTGGCTACAAATGTTAACTTTTCTTCTACATTAAGATATTTAATGGGAATTGTTCTGCTTATCGAGAATTCGTGTCACATAAAGATAGAGTATCAGTTATCACTTTGATTTGAACACTATCAAAGTTATAGTACGTGTTGTCGTGTTGCCATCGTTTACATCATCATCGTCAAGGCATAAATCATTTGTCGATGGTGACAAACGAAACAGTTATATAAGCACGCTAGTAAAAAAGTTTGTAACATTTTTCCGGCACGAGTCATATGACTCAGCTGATTTTCTTCCGTCAAGTGAGAAAAATAACGAAATCGACAGTAATGCATTGAACTTTACGCGCGCGGAAGGAATCCTCGATCATTACAGTAAAAAACATAATATCGATCGAATCTTCGGAGACGTTGTAAGCAGAAAATGATAAAATACAATCGATTAGAATGCTACAAACGACAGACATTTATAATTTTACGCGCCGAGAAGAATTTAATCAATTGGCATAATTTGGGAAGATGGTGCACTGCGCCGAAAAAAACACAGATAAAATTTAAATTCTTATAAAACACATACAGTATTAGTTTCTCTTGTGACTAACAATCAGCTGTACAGCAAAGATAAATAGTTTACCTTTTATACTTAGTCATCAACATTTGACATACATTATGCGTGTATATATGCGCGCGGGTATGTGTGCTGCGCAGATATCTGGAGCATGCTCACACATGGTTTCGCTTTAAATCGTATCAAGGTTCTTCCCAAATGTACTCCACGATAAAATCTGCTATCGTATAAGCCAGGGTCGCGCATGATTACAATAATCTAGGCTGTAATAAAAGAAGATGTTATCGACGTATTGCGCGCGCCGTTTATTTTTGGCAGTTCAATGTTTCTAGCAGAAGGAAGAGAGAAAAAGAGAAAAGCAAAGAAAAAAAAACTATTCATCGTTCCACGTACATCGAACTACGCAAACGAGGATGAAAGACGATAGATTTTGTGGGAATTTTATCTGTGCGTAGGAAGCTTTGGACTCCGCGTCGTGCGTGACAAGATCTTTTCTCGCAGTCACTTGTAGAATATTTTTACCTTGTAATCCATGTGTATTAAAATACACATCGCTCGAAATTTATATTAATCACACCCATTCAAAGATAAATTATTAATTTGTAATTAAACAACCAACATTATGATTAATCCTACTTTAATAGCTCGTATTGTACTCTTTACATAAACGTAATTTATTAGAAACAATAAATAGCTACTATTATGCCTCTTCTCTACTATTTAACTTTTCGTTCAATAAATTTTTTACTTACTAAAAATAGAGAATTTAAAAATAGAGCTGATTGCTATTATAAGGCTAATTGTTATTGATTCACTTTATATTTTAAACGTTAGCGTGATCACTTTTGTGTTCTATATCTTTTTTGAAAATATGCGAAGCAACTCTTATCGGACGATGCGCCATCATCGGAGAGATTAAGTCTGAGCAGCGTGTCTTTGATCTCCCATCAAGGAACATGATAATAATCGCGCGTAATAATCGGTCATCCCAGT